GAAGCCTGTTGAAAGACTGATTGACATATATTGTACGGGAAATACCACAGGTCTCGATATAAAGCATAATATAATATCCAAACTTGGCTCGATGAATTTACCCCTTGAATATCTAGTTGGGCAAAGTTATGATGGCGCCTCAAACATGAGTGGAAGAATCAATGGTGTGCAAGCCTTGATTAGAGCAGAGGCGCCAAAGGCAGCTTTTATTTGGTGTTATTGTCATCGATTAAATTTAATCGTTGTTCAATTATGCCAATCAATTAAAGAACTTCGAAATGTTCTAGGAATACTAGATGAGATTTATGTCTATTTTAATGGTGTAAAAAGATATGAGGTACTCAAAAAATTTCAGTGTAATGATCTGAAAAAATCGCAACGATTTCTACGCGTCAAGAATATCACTCGGTAATAGTTCCATATTTATTTAAATTTTAAATGTTTTTTTTATTTAGAAGCTGGCTATAGTCATATAAAGCTATTGTAAAAAAATTTTCAATTTTATGATGCCTTGAGGGCAGCTTTAACAAATTTAAAGGATTCTGAAGATCCTGCCACTTCCACTATGGCTAGTGCTTAGAATAGAAAAATTTGATTTTATCTTATCACTTTGTGTTTTGGATAAAATATTGTTGATAACAAGTTTGGCTTGTATAAAATTGCAAACCATTTCGAAGGATATAGGATATGCAATAAATCAAATTCAATTGGCAAAAGATTGCTTGATTAATTTGAGAAGTATAATATAAATTATTGTCTTAATTATTTTTTAATCTAATAGATAATAACACTGAATTTTTGGATGTTTTTTCAAAGGCGCAAGATTTTATGAAGGAGAATAATCTACCTTTTAATTTTGAAAGTTCTAGACTTCAAACATTACAATCCAAAAAGGAGAGGTATATATATACTTTCATCATTGAATATAGAAATTTTTTTTAGCTTTAAAATAGGTGTGTTTTATGCTGCACTCGATTTAATTATTATGCAGTTTAACGAAAGATTTAATGATGATTCAATGAAATTTTTACATCAAACATCATTTTTTACGCCAAAGGGAATGGCAGAAAAATCAATTATTAAAGAAGATATCGAGGATATCTGTGAATTTTACAATTTAAATTCAAGTCAAATTTTCGAAGAAATGTTGAAGTTTAGAAATATTTATAAGATGGCCAAAATGGGGAATGTAATTATTACTCATGTCATGACCTAGAGGTTCAAGAATTTAAAGATTTGTCAGATTCTGAGAATTGTAAATTTATTTAATTAAAATATTTTTACCAATACATTATTTAGCTTCTTCTGATGATGATGATAATTCAGGGACTTACGATTCAGATTGGAAAAACTATTCATTTATTTTACCTTATCGTTTACTTTTAAATTTTTCTGCTTTCCCTAATTTAAGAATTTTATATAAATATTTATTAACCATTCCCACAACCTCATGTACTGCCGAAAGAGTCATGAGTAAAACTAAATTAATTAAAACAAGACTGCGCAGTACCATGAAAGATTCTTTTCTCAATACTTTAACCATATTATCAATGGAAAAATTTTTATTTAAACAATTAAATACTGATGAAATTATAAATTCTTTTGCTTTCTCTTCCCCTAATTTATCTAAATTATTAATTTAAAAATAATATTTATAAAGTTATATTTTTTGCATTTTATTTATATTATATATTAAAAATTGATACAATAAAAATTATTTTTGAAATTTATGGGTGTCATTATCATTTTTTCGAAGGGGGGAGGATACTTTTCAAGGGGGTACTTTTCATGGGAGTATTCTGCTTCATTCGCTCAAAAAGTGTAGGGGCCACTGATGGAAATGTGTTACAACAAATAATATTATTACTGTATATATTAACAATTATTTTTAATATATAATATTTTTTTAAAAAAATTTTAAATATAAAAATAAACAACAATACACATAACTTAATTGTGTTGTGATGATTTAATGAAACATGTTGATGATTAAATAAAAACCCATCCCATCCTACAGTGTTGTGATAATTTAATGAAACATATTGACGATTAAATTTAAACCCATTCATATAAAATGATATTGCAAAAATAATTAAGATATAGACAAAGCATTACTGAAATTTTTTTTATTATTTCTTTTGTTGTACATTTGTAAAGATTATAATTATATATGCATGTGTTTAAATTAAATCGTCAATATGTTTCATTAAATCATTAAACATTGTAGATAAAAATATTTTGTTTTAAAAGTAAATAAAATAACACATTTGCAATTTATAAAAAAAATTAAAATAATATTCCGTTTTTTTATTAAATTAATTTTTATCTTTTGAATGAGCTAAAAATACACAATTTCTTCTTAGGTAAACAGGTCAAATTATGATAATTTATAACTTATTTTTTCGTTGTTTATTATATTTTCTATTAAATTTACCTTTCTTATATTATAGTTTCGAAAATGACTTGTGAAATCTTTAATGTATATTTATTTTATAAAAGATCTAAAACAATTAAAATTTTTCTTTAATTTCATAATAGAAATTATTTATATCCCTTCTTTTTTTGCGTTTTAAAATTATTTCCGGTATTAAAAAAAGATTAAAAACAACAGACCGGTCAACGGGCCGTGAAAACTTTTTTAAAATGGGTTTCAGCATGCTCAGGTTTAATTAGTATCACTATGCTCCATCCTAGTTCAGAATTAGGTGCAACTTTCTGGCCGGATTTGTTTAATTTCATCGCTATTTTTTAAACACGTATTGACTTTTTTTCTAATTTAAGAAATGTATTTTGGACAAGTACATTTGATAATATTAGTTCCTAAATTAGGCAAGATTGAGCTTGAATGAGATATTTAGAATACTTTTGGATAATCGTTTTTATTTAAGGGGAGGGTGGTTACAAACATGCGTCTTTTATCTTGCCTATTCTGAAGTCAAGATATATAAAATCTTAAATTTACACTTATTATATATATAGTTTGTGTATTAGCTATAATTGGGTAATGGCTAAATACAAGCTAACTCGGCTCAATCTTAAGGCGCTTGCTGAAAAAAATCAGTTAACATTAAGGCGCTTTAATTTATATTAATTCATTAACTATATAATCGTGCGCTAAAGTCCTTTTCAAAATCCATCACGTATTTTACTCTTTGTTTGGATTGAAGAGGGGTAATAATTTTTTGAAAAAGAGCATATGAATTTTAAAAAAACTATATCCACTAGTCGACTCAAGTATATAATTAGTATTGACGACTCTATTTAGTCTAAAGTAAAAAAAAACAAATATCTTAATTAATAATAACTAATTTGAAATATTCGTCTTCTAATCGACTTAAGTTCATAGAACTATTTGTCCTCAAGTCGACTAAAGTATATAAACTTGAGTTCACGACTTGAGTTAGTTGACTACGACTAATGACTCTGACTAATCGTTTTATTTAAATAAAAGTTAAAAAATTATTTTGTCTTATTAATATGAGTTCAAATTATAATTTAAAAAAAGCCTATTACATTGAAACGTTCATATAATGGGCTATCTATACGTCTTATAAATATCATTCACGATATCTTTGAAGAAAGTAAGCAGCCGCGCTAATTATTGAAGAAATTATTGGAAAAATAATAAATGAGCTGCAGGGAAAAAATAGGAGCTCTCGATTATTAAAAATCGAATGAACTTTCAATTGGACACAAAATACCAATAACAATTTTTCATAACATTTTTGCTTGCATCCTTCGGTAGCTATGCTACTTTTTAGATAATTAATAGTGCTGCTAATTATATTTCGAGTAGCTCTAAAAAATAGCTACCTTTAAAAATATTAATTAATATTTTAAAATGATAAATAAATCTTTATTTTATTTACAATTTGAATATATAATATTGATATAATTTAAAAAATTAAATTTATTCAAATCCTTTCATTTAGATTTGAAGATGATATATTATTCGTAATTTGGGATTGTTCCGAAAATATTTAATGATTTTAACTTTATATCATGAGCATTTTATGTTTAATGATAAAGAAAATCTAGATACTAAAACTGTGTCAGTAAGCAAATTATGTATGTCATAAAATAAACAATTAGTGTAAGCAAAACTTTCTCATATAATTTATAGTTATTAAGTGTATGAATTTAATTAATAATAAAAATTAAAAATAATTATAATAAATTTTCAATAATTAAGATAACTAAATCAAAAAATTAAAATAAAAAAGGGGCCTGCAACTTAAAAAAATTTACCAGACAATGATGGAAAAATATGTATTGATAAAAAAAATATTTTTGGAAATAATCCCATTCATTCTTTAACATCACAAAAGATGTTTTATGACTTAATTAGCTTTGTGATTGAAGAATTGCAAGCCTTTTCTGTTGTGGAAAGTCCATTCTTCACTAGACTGATTAAAAATGCATACCCAAAGAGATCTATATGACGCCATTAAACTTTAACAAAAAGAATCCAATTTAAATATGAAACAATGATAGATGTGAAACCAATAAAATTGGATCTAAATTTTAAAAAATATCAATTCCTGGCCGATTATTTTAAGGTAAGTATAACTTAATAAAAGTGTATGAAATAAGGTTTCTTGAAACTGCCAATAAATGAACAAATAAAAAATGCATTTAAAGGAATACTTCTGTAAATGAAAATGGAATTTGCAGACTGGGTATAACCATATTGTTTGTAAATAATTTACTGAAAACGACAAGATTGTATTACAATACGAATTATAGCTCTAGGTGAAATATTTGAACAATTGAAGAAAATAAACTGAGATTAAAATAAATCTTTCAAAATTATTTTAATTATTAAAAAAATTAAACCGATCCTGCCTAAATTTGATCCTCTAAAAATTGAAACCTGCCTAAAATTAAAAAAGACATTTATCCCCAAATTTTAGAGAATGTGTAGCAACATTTTTTGGCTGGTTAAAAAATAAATCAATAATTAATGAGAAAATGGTTAAATTGGAAATATAAACCCATACCCAGAGCATGGTCCTGAACTTATCGTTACATTCCAGTAACCTGTCTATGTAAGCTTGACTTTGACCCAATTGCGTGCAATATTCTCCGTACACCAAAAATTTGTCAGCAAATTCTTGAAAGCAGTCACCGATGTATAAAGGACCTGCAGTCAGAATATCTGTTAATAACAAGATATAAATGTAATAATGTAGCCACAATTATATTAGAAATCTTTCAGTGATTGATGCATTTATAAATCAACTATAAATAGAACATTTAAATGGTCTGGAAAAATCAAAATTATGTATTATACTTCAAAATCATGTAATACGTAGTACTTTTGTAAAGTTGCTACTCAGGATCGGGTTATGAGAAAATTAGTATAATATATCCTTTCCCATTTTAGACAAGTTGGGGTAGAATGAATATGACTTTATTGAGCTAATGAGGTAGAGATGGCCAATAAATAACAAATCGATCATGGCTGTTTACTATTCACATTAATTTGTATTTCGATATGATTAATACTAAAGTTTTAGGCAATAATTAATTTGGAAAAATTGGGTTCATTTGTTATATTATAATTTCTTGTAAGGAAGATATTGAACTTAAAAATTTTCAAATAGTTTGAATGATTCTCTTCCTTATTTTTTTATCTTTTCGTCATGATTTTAAATGAGATTAATGTGAGCCTTTATAACCATTATTAGTAGTTTAGAAGGTGAAATTATGGATATTTCCATAGGTGCATCAAGAACTTGAATTGCTATCTTATTTTATATTTATTTGAATAGAATAGTTATATTACTAAAAAATACTCCAACTCCTTATCACCACTCATCTCCATGTCTTCATGCATTCAGATTTAATTACGCCAGATGAATTTTTGATAACTTAATTATTAATCTTATTTAAAAAATTTCTTTTTCTATACTTGATTGTATAATGGTTGTGTTCTTAAATATAAAATTAATTGTGTAATAAATTTAATACTTAGATTGTTTATATTATTTTAGATAATCTTGGTTTCCAACTAGTGATTGGAAAATTTAAAATGTGTCGTGACCGAGTATTACATGTTTAATTTGTTCAAAACTTATCTCGTAATTCGAAGGTTAGTGAGAGTGGAGGAAACAATTTTAATGAAGATATAGCTAATGAGAAGGCTTTAGCGAATTTGTACCTTAAAGCCATTAGAATTCAAGAGATGATAGGATGTTTAACGATAATAAGAATATTTCGCATTCTAGCCTTTTCTCATATAGAAACCCTATTTTTTCATGTTAATCCCTATCAATCATTAGAACCATTTTCAATTTAAAGATTCCCAAATCATTTCTCATTTTATTAACATTGCCTAAATATCGATATTATGGCGAATTTGGTTCTAAAAGCTTTTTGCAGGGATCCAAATCGAACTTGAACTGATCAATAACTATTATTTACAAAACCCAAAACGAATAGAGACCGTTAAAGATTTAGTTTTCCCACTTGAACTAAAAAGGTTTTTGAATCGGTTTGATGCCCTTTGACATTACAATTTTAAAAATTTGATTAATAAGTGTTAGTTGCAATTTATTATAAAAGATGTATCTGAATTAATTTTTCATCAGTATCGGTTCCAAAAATTATAATCAACTGGCCAGGTCCGGTACCGGATCTTATAAAATAAAAATATTTATCAACTCTCATACGTAGAATGTAATTTAATTCTAGATATCAACGTTATCCAAAAATTAAATCGTTACATTTTGCGTTAATTAAAAAGGTAACGCAGTAAATAGTGATTTTTTAAAGTATCGAAAAAGTAACGCAGTAAATAGTGATTTTTTTAAAGTATCTATTCCGGTCATATATTTATTTTTTTAGAGAAAATATATAATCGTTAATAACTATCGTTTACTTGTAATAATTTGGGAATATTCGTATATTGATGTGTAATAATAACATAAAAAATATATTGGTTGCTTTTATATTTTAATGAAAAAATAGAAAAACATGCTTCTCTATATATAATCTCCTGTAATAGTAAATGCAATTTTTTGAAAATTTTCAGCCAGCGGTGTCAGCCATATATCGCTGACTATTATCTTTTATTTATTATATTAGATTTGATGAAACAAAAATATATAAAGCGTGATATGACATTATTTAACAGCTGTCTGAGAGATTTTTATATTTAATATAGATCATTATCAAAATTTAAATGAAAACATTATAACAGTATTCTGTATTTTTTTGGAAAAATAATTAATGCTAGCCCAGTGTGCATAGATTCATTTTATCATGTCACATGTCTGAATTAATTATTAAGTTTTTTATATCTCCTCGCTTGCCACATAATCAAAAACAATTCATTTATCACAGATTCTTTCATTTTAATTTTCTTTAAAAAATATTAACATTTCATAAATATCATCATTTAATTTTTTATTCACTTTTTTAAAAACTCTCATAAATCATTAGAATATTTTCTTATTAAATTTGATTTTTTAAAGAAAATATTAAAAATTAAAAACCGTTTTATAAATTAATTGAAAATTATAATTTTCCATAAATATTTTATCACTATTTTTGATTTGATGAAATAAATATAAATCCATCACTTATTTATATTCTTCATTGTATCAGGAATTTATACACTTATTTTTTTCTTTATTATTTATCCAAATTACAAAATATATTATAAAGAATAAAATGAACAAATTTTGTGAAAAAATTTTTTCGGATGAATTTTTATGGGTATCTAGGCAAGTGGGTGATTTATTTTTCAAAAACCATCTGATAATGTTTTTACAAAATATGAGCGCGCAGGTTATAAAATTAAAAACAAGTGACAGTCGGATATCTTTTCAAAAGTCAAGGGCGGACCGGTTAAAAAAAATTAAAACAATGGGCGTGTGGGTCAAATTGTAGATTCTAGCATATATTACAAATCGTCACTATTACTAATTTTAATTAAAAACATGCGATATAAATATAGTCTAAATATGTTTAATAAACTTGAAACTTTATATAAATTAGTTATACCAATATTACTATATTATTAGATCAATAAACTTGGGGTAATGATGGCATTTTAATAATGATTTACATTTGTATTTCATAAATATATTTAATATATTAAGTAATCGTTTAATCCATTTATGCAAAATAAAGTTAAATTAAAAAATATTAATTTTTTTTTTAATTTTAATCCAGACACATGATCTTTGAAAAATTTTAAATAATAAAGGTGATAACTTGCATGTAAACGAGAATCAAATGATAAGCGATTGAGGTTGGGAATAGATCCCACACTGCAAAGAGAAGTGGCCTCGTTAAATCTTTTTTCCAATTTTTCATGAATTTCTATCAAAACCTATTGTTAACAAGGGAAAAATTTCTTTAAAAAAATATTGAATCTTAATAAAATTTTATGGGAAAATAAGTATAAAGGATTCTGCATAAAAACAACAGTTAAGAACCGATAATCATTATTTATTTTGGCCTGATTTGCTAATATCGGGAACATTATGATTTCATAAAAAAGACAAAATTTTGTTAAGATAAGCTGCTATTTTAAATAAATATAAATTAAATCAATTTACCCCAATTTTTCCGTATATGATATTTATATCCCGTGGTGATAAGATGCTTTTCATTCGTTCCATAAAATTCTAAAAATTAGTAATTAACATGAATAGATAGAAAATATAATATTGGCCTCTTGAAGTAATTGTATCTATATTGAGAATCATTGATAAATTATATATATATCTGATGGATATAATGGGTCAATCAAAGATGATAACCCGGCCGAAGGTCGGGCAAAAGCCGGCCAAAAGCCCGCAAGCCCCCATAAAAAATTTTTTAGTTGAGCCCCCTGAGATTGTAAAGGCTAGCGACGCCCCTGAAGAATTTGTAATTTCAATATTTGCTATATGTATCTTTTTTATCATAAATATGAAAGAGTAATTTTTACAATTTTATCAGCTCGAGACAAATACATCACATGTAAATGGACGTCTCAAAATGCAAGATACTACTTAACTTGTTAGGCAGTATCGCGATTATTTGTATTTAAAATATCAAATATAATATAAATATTTTTATATTTATAATTCATATTTATTTGAACAATTTAAAGACATTTTTCTAATAAATTGAATTATAAGTGTAAAAATTATGTGATATAAGTTAAAGCAAAAAATCAAGATCTTACCTATTTCATCTTAATTTATAAATATGAGCACATTCAAACCGAAAATGAAGAAATAAATCTTTTGGGAGCAGAACAAGAAGATAAAGATTTAAGTTCTACTCAATTAAGAGATTATTCAATATTTTTAGAATTTATTGGAAGAACCTCCATATTCCCTATAGGTTATGTAAATATATTAGATGGAAAGTCGTTCAAATAAATATGAATTATTTAAAATCGTTTCATATGTTAATTATAGACGTTAAGCCTGCGAGGGAGAGGCAAGGTAGCACCCCCCCCCCTCCCTAGCCAAAAAATGCAGATGCTGATTTAAATCAAAGCTTCCCAGTATGTGGTTATGACACTTGATTTTTGAAAATAATAATAAATGCAATTTTCGTGGTCCTACCAATTTTAAAGCATTGGTGAATTTGTTAATGGAGAACATAAATAGCAGAAAATAATTCTGCATTCCTTAGTCCCGAAATTCTAAACAAAATTATTGATGTTTGCAATATTCTCATAATAAGAAAATTAATCGAGAAATATATTCTATACCATGTTTCTCCATTTTAGAGGATGAGACCACAGCTATTGAAGTCATTGGGCGGATGTCATTGTTAGCACGATATATCAATACCAAGGATAATAAAATTAAAGAAATATTTCTGCAATTTATTACTATTTCAAGCATGACTAGGCAGCCTAAGCTTGTAATATTTGAGAATCTTAAAAATTTCAAAGTAAAAATTAATCTCATAATATAATAATTTTTTAAATATAGCTAAATATAAATTGCTGGGGCCCATACAGTGAATGGGCAATTCAATAGGATTCAGTCATTAATAAAAAGGAAATGACAAAGAACTATATATGTGAGCCGTGCTATTCATTCTGTGAACTCGACAATTTCTGAACACATTAATGGTCAAGATTTTCTAGTGGATAAAAATGCTCAAATATGATATTCTAAAAAAATCAGCCGAAAAAATAATCCTAAATAGGAAATCTAGCCTGGTGCATATCTGCACCGTTAACCATTAAGAGTTTAAAAAAGATTTAAAAAAGATCAAAAAACAACAAAAATTTATATTCTTTTTTTGTAATTTATAATAAAAACAAGAAAATGTTTATATATTATGAAAATTCTTGAAACATTTGAAGTGCGATTTGACATGTTACATATACCTTGAGTATGTATGGCAATATCTGAATCTTTGTTTTTTCCATCTATAATTTTGGATAAATAATGTCCAAATGAATCAGTTGGGTTTTCACCTGTTATGCAAACTGGATGGCGTGCCCTGTACTTAAATTTTTTTCAATTTTTACTGGTGTTCAAAGGAGGTAGTTAGTAACTTCTCGTCTAAATGTAAGAAAACTCTTCTTATTACCTCGATTAAACAATTTCCAGATTTTCCACGAATTTACCAAAGCTACATCGATAAAATTGGTGAATATTGGCAACACCATTTTTTCCTTTATTTTTATTCTATATGTAGATATGAGATTATTGTTATAAGTAGTTATCATATTTGGCTGAGGAATGTTTATTTTAGAAGCTATTTTCTTGAAATATTAGAAAGCAAAGAGATAGTGTGGCATCTATTACCACCTAATTATCATTCCTTAATTGTGGGAGAGAATGATATCCAGTAAATAATAGAATTCCAATAAATCTTTTAATATCTTAGATGGTTATGCATATGTTAAATCTATTCATTTGTTTTGCATAAATATTACTTTGTTCAACAATTAGTGAACATAAGTCTTCGTCGAAAATTAAAATAAATATATCTGATGGACTTTTACCTTGCAAATCATTTTCAAGTTTTATTCCATCTTCCTTTTCCCCATTGGAAAGGTTTGAAGAATATTTTGCCTCTGTTTTTCTCTTTTAAATTGTGAGAAATTCGAGAATAACTTCTTGTAGAAGATAGTCTGAAAGGTCGTTATCCACTGAATTATGAATTTCCAATTTTTCAGCTGTATCTGAAAGCATAATTCCATCATTTGTTAAGTCATTTTAGTCGAAATCTTCTTCATCACTAATTGCAGACGGGTTTGGCGGAATTATAACTATATCTCTTTCTTCAAATTAATTCCTATTTAAAAAGTTGAGCAAGAGCTTGTTCAATTGTCAGAAAACGATTCATTTAAAAATTTTATTAAAATTAAATATTTAGACAAATTATTTTCGTAGAATCATGATTTTTAATTAGTCATATATTATTTTGATTGAAATGACAAAACAGGTGCATAACAAGAAAAATACAAATAATTTAAAAATTTTATTAATTTTAAATATTTATTAACCAAATATTTGCGAATAATTTCATATAATTTGATCGAGATAAAAATTATAAAAGGAACATTATATTATTCGATTTAAATCTCAGGAATTTTTTTTATTATTTTCAAAAGACCTTTTTTGGGTATAAAAAAAATTTTAGGGGGACTCGAGCCACCCCCTCCCCTCCTATTAGTGGCGGTACTGGTTTAAAGTAAAATATAAAAAATTATAATTCATTATGTTAAATTTGATTTATCGCCGGGGTGGCCTAATGGGTTAGATATATGCCTGGAAACAGAGGGAAGCAGGTTCAATCCTGGTAAGGAGCATAAAAACTTTCAGGTTTTTCTTCGATAACTGATGTGTAAAAACATATGGTAAGATCATTTTCTAAGCTTAGAGATGACACCCCGGCCATCGACAGGCCTGGGCAGCCAGGTGCTAAGGAAACTTGTCCAATAAACAAAATGAAGGTAACAAATGAAAATATGAATATTAAAGCTAGGGCGTTCCCTGACGCGCAGGGTGTACATCCTGTGAAAAGTAGGGTAAAGGTCAAAGCAAAGAAGACAAGATTAGCAAGTTTGAATGGGACACTTAAAGGTAAAACGAGAGAATTCAATGTTAAATAAGAGAAAAGTTGAAATAGCGTGCATAAAAGAGACGAAAGGACAGAAGACTTTGGTGATTGGAGATGGGTATAAATTGTAATATAATGGAATTGTTAGCAATAGAAACGGTGTCGGTATCATCCAGTCAAGATCTAACCTCCTCAGTAGAAGAAGTCAACAGGATCTCTGATAGACTAATGAAGATAAAACTCTGCATTGGTCAATCAATAATACACATCCTTTCAGTGCATGATCCTCAAACGGGTTGCAAGGAAGAAGAGAAAGATGACTTTGAATAAATGATGACTTTAGAGCTATCCTTGATGAAGCTGTAATGGAAATCCCTAAGGATGACATAGTCATAATAGGTGGTGACTTAAATGCACATGTGAGAAAAGCAAGATATAGCTACAAAAGGCATCACGGTGGTATTGGATATGGAGAAAGAAATGATGAAGGAGAGCATGTACTGAAATTTGTGCAAGCCTTCGACCTTGCCTTAACCAACACCTACTATAGGAAAAAGGTCAGTCATTAACATATGAAAGTGGTACAAGGAAAACCTAGATAGATTACATGCTAATCTCTCGCAGAGGATTAAAAGATGTAATAGACTGCAAAGTAATCCCAGGAGAAGATATCGCCGCGCAACACAAGATACTAGTCATGGATTTACATATCTCAAATAAATCCACTCAAAATAAGATAAAATTGGAACCATGCATCAAATGGGGTAAATTGAAAACAATGACAGATGCCTTTGCAATTAATGCAAACATTGAAACAATAAATTCCTCACAAGTCAGTGAAAAAATGTGAACAAACCTTTCATCCAGATTAATAGACACTGCCAAATCGACTAGGCTTGACAAGGGGAGGTAACAAATAATAAAAAGAACTATGGTGGTGAAATGAAGAGGTACAAACCACTACACAGGAGAAAAAAGCCCTTTATAAAATATGGTACAAATCCAAAAATCCAGATGACAAGACAAGATACAAAAAATTAGGCGGTGGCTAGGGCCAAATCTATTGCATACAATGACATGTATGAAGAACTACATACCAAAGAAGAGCAAAATAAGATATACAGATTAGCTAAACAGCAAGAAAAGAATTCTAGGGATATAAATGGAGCTCGGAAAGTAATCAAAAATAAAGATGGGAAATTGATAATAAAGGAAAAAGAAATAATGAATATATGGAAAGAATATTTTCAGGAGCTTCTCAACTTTAATCCCCACATATTACATTTAGATGAACACTCCTATGTCAAAACCTTGTACAACCAATAACAGAACAAGAGATAATCATATACATCAAGCATATGAAAAACAACAAAGCTAGGGGCCCAGATGATATTTCAATAGAAAGCCTTAAAGCACTAGGAGATGATGGAATACATCACCTCACAAATCTGTACAATAAAATACTGGGAAATGAAGAGATCTCTCAAAAATAGAGGCAGAGCTATCTAGTTCCTATCTTCAAAAATAAAGGGGATCTACCTAATTGTCAAAATTACAGGGCATAAAACTAATGCTGTCTTAAACTCTACGAAAAAATAATAGAAAAATGGTTAAGAGACATAATCGTAATAGGAGAGACTCAGTTTGAGTTTATTCCTGGAAGATCAACAACTGATGCTATCCATGCAATTAGACAAATGAGTGATAAATACAAGGAAAAGAACAAAAAGCTATGGTCTTTCTCGATCTAGAAAAGGCCTGCGATAGAATCCTAAGAAAACTTATCTGGTGGGCGCTACGCCACAAAAAGGTTCCCGAAAAATATATAAGAATAATACAGGATATGTATATGGGCCATACAACAATGGTCCGTAGCACAACAGGTACTTCAGCAGGCTTCACAATAGCCGAAGGAGTTCATCAAGGGTCGGCTCTCAGCTCACCTCTCTTCATTACAGTAATAGATGTATTAGCACAGTCTATACCTCAAACAGTCCTGTGGAATATGATATTTGCAGATGATATTGTGATACTTGCCGAATCCAAGGATGAAATGAAAGAAAGATTAGTGAGTTGGATAAATATCCTAGAAAAGCATGGACTAAAAGTAAATGGAGAAAAGACGTAATGTATGGTGATAGGAGAAGATGAAACAGAGAGTATTGATATAAATGAATGGCAGATATCGGCAATTGAAAGCTGCAAATATTTGGGCTGCACTATACAAACAAACGGCACAATAGAAAAAGAGAAAGAGTAAAATTAATCAAGGGTGTAGTGCTATTTGACAAAGGAATCCCACACAAATTAAAAGGAAAAATTTACAGTTCCATAGTACAACCAACTATTTTATATAGTTCGGAAACATGACCAACCAAGGAATCAGACGAGAGAAGTGGAGATGAGAATGCTGAGGATGATTGCTGGGGTAACAAGAAAGGATAAAGTGTGCAGTACAAGAATACTAAGTAGTTTAAAGGTAGTGCCTATTAAGACTAAGTTAATGGTAAACAGACTTAGGTGGTATGGGACACAATGAGAAGGCCTATGAACTACATAGGAAATAAGGTTGAGAGTTTGTAAGTGATGGGCAAACGTAAAAGAGGAAGGCCAAAACTTCAATGGGGCCATAAAGTTAGAGCCAAAAGAAGTATAAATTAGATAAAAGAGATTGTATGAATAACATAAAGTGGAGAGAGATGTTGAAGAAGCTTACCACCAGAAAAGTTGAAAGCTAAAGAGAAAAATAAAATGTTAAATTTGATTTGTTTGAATTTTTTAAAATAATTTACATTGCTAGATGGTTAACGGTGCATATATGCACCAGCCACCTTTATGTGGTTACCTATTAAAATTTTAATTATCTAAAAATTCAAAAATGATTGATAAATATTGATATATCTATAAAGAAAATATCCAGACTAGTTTTGATCGAAATAATTTCATAATATGCTCGTGAGATCACTTAGAAAATTTTACATTTTAGACCTCATAAATTCGCCATGCTTGAGGGTTACTTAGGGACATAAAAAATATTTTTCATATTTTTCTTCCAGTTTTGAAGAAAAATGTCTGAACTATATAAATATCTTATTCATTATTTTTTAATAAAAACTACTATATTTAAAAATGATATATAGGAGGTGGTGCATATATGCACCGCTAACCAGTAACGGGTTGTTCTCTACCCTTGATATCAAATTACTTATTCATATTTATTTTTATATTTTAATTAAAATATAAATATCTAGTAACTATGAAATGTTTTGATATCCTGAGACATATATTAAGCAATTCAGAAGCAAAGAGATTATTGAAAACGATACAACCAACTTTTTTTTTACATTAGAATGTATGAACAAATTGATCAATTACACCAGTAATTAATGCAATATATTTCAAAAAAATGACATCGATTTAATTGAGACTATGATGGCTGTAAACGTTACATAAACTTATTGAATTTAGGGCAAAGGTAGATGACGAATTTCATGAATTATATGTCATTGTTTAAAACAGCTATGAATTAACCTCGACTAACACCTGATAAACCCACCTCGTTATCCCACTCTTGGATACTTTTATTACTCAAATGAATAAAAGGCTCTTGATTAGCAGCACTTACAAATCTGCATATATTATTATGGCAGAATCCTTCGGAATCTACTTCAAATCCTGTTAGAGAAGATGTAAATATTTGACAGATTTTTATTGAGAATGTTAAAGAATTCCATGATGAATTCATAGCTGAATGCAAACTATGGTATATTAACGGATAACCATGTTAAAATGTTATGGATACTTTGCTTAATTTCAAATATATTATAGATTAATTACCTAATGTTTTGGCTGCTATATCCTTTATTATGTCTTCAAAAATAACAAAAATTTCTTATTTAAGAAGAAAAAAAATATACGTGAAGTACACCTCTGAAAATAGATTGAATGAGTTAGTCCTTCTAAATTTACCGACTAACGACACTTTTTCAAGCGATACTTTATCACTCAGCCATTTAATAACTCGACACTTTATCACGTGATTTTATTGACTCCTATATATTTTTTCAAAAATTTTTCCTATTTTTTAAAAAATATATTTAAAAAAAATTATAGAAAATTAAAAAATTAAGAAAAATATAATTAAATTAAAAAAAGTATATTATAGGTTTAAATCCGTGAATGTATATGCAATTGGATCTTTCCCTAAAACTTTTGGAAAAACGATACTTCAATGTTATTAACCTAGAGTAGTGACAAAATGTAAAATTCGAAGTTTCGGAGAACTTGATTGATAAAATTTGTTGATTTGATTAAGCGAATGATAAGCAAGGATGATGAACGTAAACATATATTTTATCCGATATAACTCAAATTTTAAGAGGTAAAACAATTATCATCAGCCGCACTTCCAAGAAAGTTAATGGATTTTAAAAAGGCGCCGATAAATAATTTGACAGTAGTGTTGCTAAACGACTCGATTTCGTCAATTTTAAATACGTCTTTTTTTTATATTATTCTAAAATTTAACAAAATATTATGCAAGCCTTGAGATTTCATTAATAAAAATTAAAGCCTTGAGATTTCATTAATAAAAATTAACTCAACCCCAAAGAAGAATGACTTTTACATTATAATTTTATAATATACTTCTTAATTACATTTTTTCGTACAATTTTATTTTATGAACTCTATATTTCCTCGTGAATACCTTATAATATATACATAAAATAATTCTTAAGAATATTTTTGTGCCTTCAATATTTCAATAATTTATTTTTAATACAATTTATATAACAAATTTTAAATGCTTAAAAAATACATCATTTTTTTACAAAATTATTTTTCAAGACATTTATATTAGTGATTCATACATTTAATATTAAACTAGCATGTATATTTTTGTATTAAATTTTACTAATATTTTATAGTCAATAGTCTAGTCCTACTAGATTTCTAAAAACTAATCAAAATTAATTACAATAATTCTAAAAAAAATTTTAATTATCCCCTCCCACAAAAATTTCACGTTCCTGGCAAAGTAATATGTTAAAATAATTCTGCGTCTCTGATATAGTAAAATTTTTAGTAAAAAAACAGTTATGGGACTATATAAATCTATTTCTAAAAATTTTTCGACAAAGTATTTTATTTGAATACCTTTTGTGAGTACTTATATTCAAATACATTTTTATGTTTCCCACTCCTGCTATTTAAATTATAATAAAAAATGTCAGAATTTAGAATTTAATATAAAATATTATGATTCATAACAAAGATTAACTCACATTGACAACGTCCTTGAGGGCCTTGATGTAATTCGATTCGGTATCCATCAACTCTCTTATGCAGTGCTCCCGTTTATCCTTCGGAGATGACAGCAATATCTATTCATGTATACCATTTATCAATAGTTGGGTATTTTTTAAATTATTTTATAATTTACTTGAACTTTGGCAAATTTTTAGTTTTCTAGCTCTTATATTTCTAAAGAAATCAAGGGTAAAAAGTATAAAAAATCGCCATTTTTAATAAATAAAGATTCATTATATTTTCAGATTATAATTTTAAGACATTATTTTTAAAACTTTAAATAAATATTTCTGATCCAATGTTTAATTATTATAGGTTCCTATTTGTTTAACCAATCATAATCATTTTAATCACGTAATAATCACAAATAATTAATTTTGAATGGCCTTTACCAACCTAACATAAATTAACATGTTTTACCTCTATAGACATTAGGAAATAGGGGCATAAAAAAATTAAATTATTTTCGAACAAAATAATAAATTGATTGACTGAATATCGATAAATTTTTTCAATTTTCTTTAGTAAGATAGTATAATTATAAAATGCGTCATATTTTATGTTATAGTAAAATATTAAGAAAAATTATCTGAAGATTGTAAAAACAATTAGGAACATATAAAAAAGTAACAATTATTAACAATTTTGGTAACAACATGACCTGGTTTTGTTCTATCACATATATAAGAAAATGGGAAATTTCATTTGACCTAACTGAAGGGTTGAACAATTTAGTCGTTGTTTCCTAAATACATATTAATCGCTTTCTTAACTGGTGCTTGAAAGCATGTTATTTATTATAAATCAATAACTCAGCAAATTCGGTTTTAAATTCAGTAATCCAATATTCCCTTTGCTTGACAGCCTTCGGCGTTTCTCTTCTCTTATTAAATCCATGCAAATACCCTGGCAAAATCAATGAGAAGAAATAAATTGAATAAGATATTGCTCTATTTAACTTATCTAACCATCCATGTTAATTATAATTTCTCATAAGGACGGGATATACAAACATAAGATTTTTTTCTTAGACTATTTCATTTGCTAGATTCACTCTCAAACTAGTCGAGGCATGTTAATATCACGGCTATCACACCCTTTCTTCTAAACGGCTTATATCATTGGCAAAAACCATATCATACAAAATTCTCCTCTTAATTCATTGTCTTTTTGAAAATATACTTGGCCTTTTTGGAAATTTAAGAGGTTCCTGTACCAAAATAATTACGCTTTCAGGCAATCCGAGTGGTATATAGGTAAAATAGCTACTGAAAAAAACTGTAGTGTCAGATAATCTTAACACTATTCTTCCTCTAATATGTAATTTTGGGCATCGAATATAAGAAGGATTAAACATCAAACCCCTTTCCTTCATTCAAGATAAAATCCAATGGAATTCCCTTTTTGGGTACCATTAAAAACCTTAATTCCTCTAGGATTAGATTGATTTTTAATGAATTGTCGCATTGCAATACTACCAGTAAACTCCAATTTTTTTTCATCAATGCAAAATACATGGACAATAGTTTTTGGGCAGCCTGATAGAACATACTCTATTATTGAGCATATCTTTCAGAATTTATCAACGGGAGTTGTCAATAACTTAGATAGAGCTATATCCTATTATTCAATTTGCGACCAAAGGAATAAATGGACGATGAGTTTTCCACATATTATTGATTTTGCTGTGGTGGCGGTTAAGATCGAATATAGAAAGGATAGCAACGTCGAAGGATATCTATCAAATATTATGGATTATCATGAATTTAAATATGAGATTGCTCAATTATTAAGTTAAAATAATAAAAAACAAGTATCTTCTGAATAAAGCTCAAAGCGAAGATGACGGAATTGGGAAAATAGGTTCAGTTGTTTAGATTCTCTCATTCCTTATCGGCCAAATAAAGCATCCCATGTCCCCATATATGTGGCAGAACAAAAAACGTTGGCGTTATCAAGATTTTAAATCTCTTACATTTATTCAATGTGAAAGTTGTGATATTTTTTTATGTTTAACTAGTTCCAGCAGTTGTTTATCATAATTTTAATAAAATATATAAATTTGTATGAATATTTTACTATAGTATCAAATGTGATACACATTATAACTATAGAATGACTTTTAATAATGAATAATTGATATAAAATTTTTGCCAACCCAACGTGTCTGCCATTGATTCGATTTTTAAAAAATGCTTAGCAGTTGATTGTATCATCGCATAGGTTTTGTTATAATAATACCTAGAATGACGATTCACTCAATTAAATGCGTATTAACACAAATCAGTAAGTGACATGATATTTTAGTTTCTCTTGTAAATAATACATTAAAATTGTATAAAAATTTTAGAGTTTCGTAGAATTATGCGAGAATAGCGTGTCACCTGCTGCATTGTATGTATTCAACTAAGCTTCAAAATGCATTTTAACAATCGTCAGTCTAGTAGCATGACGATGCTAAAATAGAATAATGCCTACCACTATATTTACATTAATTACAAAATAAAATATTCATTAATAGAAATATGACAAATAAAATCAGAAAATTGTATTCAATATCAGAATGTACAAATAGCAATAAACCTGATGGTTATTACGTTTCAAAGTGCATAACTGTTCGTACAATTCGTCGTCCGTGTTGGTAATTTGATCCGTGACAGTTATACTCTGTCTTTCTTTCAAATCGTCTTGACTGCACAAAAAAAAATCATTTTAGGTTTAAAAAAATCTAGTGTTCAACAAGTGAAAAATTGACTGTACCAAAATGATAATACATTAAAAATAATTCTTAATTGATCATTTTACGATATTGATATTTAGGAAGCCGAAAATATCACCATATTATTGGATAAGAGTAAGCCTTCGAGCAAGAGGGCGTCGAGAGCTAGTTGAATTGGCAAATTTAGAAAAAAAATATATTTGTGCATCAACAATCAGTACAATAATGAAAGAATTTTTATTGCTGACTAGTGTTAAAACACTTATTGGGCAACTCCAATACGAAAAACCCTGCTCTTCGCTTAAAAATAGATTTAAACCTCTATGTTGAGCCTTAATTTTGGCTAATCTATCTTAGAATTGGCCAAAGTTAGATGATTGCACTCTAACTTTATTAAATTCCAAAAGATCTATATGGCCAATCAACCTCGAAAAAATTTTTTATTTATTCACGATAATAAAAATAAAAATCAATTTCTAATTATATTATATATAATCTCATCGTGGGGGAAGGGGGAGGGGTTAATTCTTATAGTAGAAAATTTGATTCTTTAAAATTTTGCGTTTTCATAATACTTTAATATTGATAAAACCTCCTCCTCAATTTTATGTTTCTATAAAAACATCTCAGAAATATTTTCCTATATTTAAAAAAAAGTTCGTGAAAGAATTTTAAAAATCTATGAATAAACGACACTAAAGACACATTTAAATTTTAAAAAATTTAAAAACGGGAGGTTCCCAAAGGTCTTTAATTCGTAATGGGATCTATTGATTTTTTCTATTCCCAAGTGTAAAAGAGCAATCAGTATTAATATTACTTTACTAAAAAATCACTCCAATCTTAGCACTTTAGGGTAAAAAATCATTTTTGTAATAGTTTTCAATTTCACCATAACCAATCCGCCTTATGTTGGTATCATATTTTCCAAAGATCTAAGAAATATAATTAGGGTACCATTAAACACAACAGTATTATTATAATATTAATTTCATTGGTCAATCACGAAAATGGCTAGGACCAGTTTTAAGTGAATAAAAATATAAAAACGTTTGTACAAAATATCGTACCAAAATAAAGAAATAAAATTAGGGTACCATTAATACACAACAATTATATGTACCATTTAAAAATAAGATACATTCATATATACAGAGAAATAATAAAAATAATTCTAATTTTAAAATAAATAAATACTTAACCGTGCATATAGATAGTCCATATAAAATTGAAACTTTTTCTTTTTATTTCAAATAAAATAATGTATTTTTTTAATATTTTACATTGCTAAAAAAACCATTTCAATTAAAACAACATAACGTTTAAAAATATACAACCATACTGTTCAATTTATCCTAAATTAAATTTATATGTTTTGTATTAATAATATTCTTCCTTTGGATCCCTAGAGATAGGTGATAATTTGTTTCCCTAGTTTTTTTTAACCCTCTATTGCGTACATCATATTTGAATACACATACCATAAAAAAAGATATAAATTTTAATATAAAATTTTTTAGTTTAATACACATGATGTATAATATATACAAGACAGCTATTAATATAAAAATTCTAAAATAAATAGTTTACAACTTTCGAATAGTTGCATTTTTTCCATTTTATAAATTATGTCATTTTTCTCAGGAAGTTAAAAATCCTATTAAATAATAAAAGAAATGTTTTATATAAAAATAAATTGTTATATTCATTAATAGTGTTTAAAATTTAAATTTTAAGGTACGTGTACCCATATACATAATGTGCACAAATGCAATATGAATTTGGGATTTTTTGATTATTTTTTTTATATTATTAAATGTTCTTTATTTGCTATCTATAGTCAAAATGTACTGTACTCCAGAAGATAGTTCTGATTCTAACCTTAGTGGTTTATCAGATGAAGAAATTCTTGATTTAAGATCAGCAGATGTTGATACTAGTGAAAATGCGGTATTTCAACTATTGGTACCACTACATTCCAATTTTAAATTGTGTTTTGTTAATTGATTCTGTGGTATAAAGCTTCGAGTATTACTCACCCAAAAGGGAGTAATGTTACAGAGAGAGCTAATAGAATTTATAATTGCTAGGTTCCAACTGAAAAAGAATTCTAAAAGATGGAGCGTGGATTCACATAAGATCATGTAAATATGGTATCACTGTATAGTATTCCATATACTTGATATAATGCTCATAAATCATGGTTAATGTATGGGAAAGATTTTGTAGCTTTAAAGGTACCGGCAAAAGAACAGATGCCATTATTAATATTTAAAATTTCAATAGCAGATACTCTGTAAATGTAACAAAAATATAAACGCTAGCGTAAAAAAATGAATATCAATTGACACCAAATATAAAGAAAAATCTAGCAAGGGGCTGACAAGTCTTATTAAGACAGGATTTAATAACACATTGGCCAAAATATAGTAAAAAGGCGCGATACAAAAACCCTGGGTGTAAATTGGTTATGAAAGTAATTCAAATATGGTGTATCATTATGTTTTACTACAAAAAAACGATTGTTTTAAGTTATTTCATGAAAATTAATAAAAATTTGTTTTATTACATTATTTATCAAATAATAAAATTATATATCTTTATTTTGTATAGGTTTGAAATTGAAAAAATATGATACTTTTTACACGCATTCTGTATTTAAATATACACACTGAAATTTTTTACGGTCTTAAAAAAATATTTTTAGTTTATTAAGAGCTCTTTAAATACAAAAATAAGTTTTTATAAAAAATCATATATTTAATGATATGAAGGGCAATAGAGGCCTCTTGTGAGAAATTGCCGAGGGTTGAAGTGACAGCAGGAATAAACATAACATTATTAAACCATGTTAAGACACACAGATTTTAGAGAATTTTTGAGTTACAGCTTGGTGTGGGGGCCTTTCAAATTGGCAATGTAAAGGATAGGCCAATTTTTTGGATCTGGGTGGTACAAAAAGTCCAAACAAAAAATGAAACAATATTACAATCGGTACCTAGTGCAGTTAAGATATTAATTGGATAGAGATTTTGAATGGGAATCATCTCGACATATTCGCAATGACTCTTTAGATTTTAACATTCTGGATGTTGATACATAAGTAGAAATTCAACACTATATTTACAATAAGTTTAAATTTTAAACGAATAAAAAAATAATAAAATACAATTAATAGAAAATCAAGTATTTTTATGAAAATTCTTTCATTTGAATGTAAACATTTACAACAGTGTCACAATGAGGTGAACAGACCAGCATAACTAATTGAAAATATAAATATTGTTTGTTTTGTTTTTTATGTTTAAATATATTTATTTTTTATCTTTAGCCTTAATTTTGGGTCATTCCATGTCAAATCAATCACTTTTCGGCCGACCCCTTTCGATTTCGATAAAAATTCGTAGGCTGGTTATATATGTTCCCATTAGATTATAAACAAAATTTTAGCGCATTAGAAACTATATTAGCGGAGATATTCGGGGTTAAAGGTCCAAAAAACGTCTTTTTTTGCTTTTTACTGATGTTAAATAATTAGTTTTTAATTTAAAACTAAGTATGATCAAATATTGAATCTAATATCAATAGCCAAGTTAAAAATTGATGATTATGGCGAAAACATCAAAATTAATTTTTGATAAAATATGGGTCATCTTATGGTCAGTTGAAATTAATATTTCGAAATGTATATGATCTCCGATTTTTAATTTTTTTAAGAATTATTATCCGTTTACTATTTTTTTAATAATTTATTGGACAATCAGTATGGCTGGGTATTTATTTAAAAAAATATTGGGATTATTATACTTTAGAAAAAATAGATGGCGCTATATATAATAGTTTTAATATGTTAAAATTTATTTTTTTTATTGATTAAAAATATTTTAATGTATATATATCATACTAAATCGATTACAATGTGCATTAAATATATTATTTGTAATTCAGATCATAAATTTTTAAAATCTTCACAAATTTTGCCTAATTAAGATAGTTTATAAATTAATTAAATCTTACTTCATCTAAAGGAATACAAAGCCTGGCTAGCTTGTGAGATTCTTCAGGAGATAATATATATGTTCGACTGGTGGGAGTAGAAGGATTGACCAGCGAGAGAATATGAGATTTAGGCAACACTAAAATATTATCTTTCAGAGGAAATTTAAATGAGGCTGAAGGTCCACAAGGGTGTAAAAATCGGATTTTTACTTCTTCATTTGTATAACTTTTATCGATTATATATCCTAACCACCATTTATCATCATATACACATGTTATATACTCATTAATATTTTAAAATATAATTTTCTCATTTAAAAACGGAACTTGTTTTATATTATATTTTTCGGAATCAGAATATATTTTGGTTTTTAGTTTATTTTGATCAATGGGAATAATCCCGTGAATTTTTTGGGTCCCATGTATGGGCAGTGCAGAATTAAATCTTTTACGAAGGGCTAATTCCTCTTCGATATATTCTTGATTGGATACATATTCAAATTGAATATTAATATTTTCTTTAGCATAATTATATAATTCTAATGGGGTTAGGATTTGATTTTTATTTAGCCTTTGAAGACTAGCTCTGGCAACTAATCTTTTGACAGTTCCTCCGATACCGTCACATGCATTTTTGCCGTGAGCAGTGACAAAGAAATGCCATTCGGCAGGAATATTAAAATCGTATTTATGAAGGCATATGTTCAGAAAATTTTTGCGATTCTTGTATTGAGACGCGGCTTCATCCGAAAATATATTATTTTTTATGGTTTAGAATGAAATTATGCTGTTAAGAATTTAATGAATTTTTTTTGATAAAGGTGGACTGCACTAGTATTATGGCTTAATGATTCGGACAAAATAACAAAATTTATATTTTTTAATTCTTCTCCAGATTTATAATATGCTACAAATGGATGTATAGTGGCCTGCACATTGTACCAATGAAATCCCTGAACTTCATCTTGTAAAAT